CGAACTTTCTCGCTTCTTCACTGCATGGAGCCTTGCCCTACCCCTTGCTAAATCCTCGGCAACCCTTTTCACCACCTGGACGAAGGAGGTCAGACTGCCACTGGGTATTCACGTCGATGACGTAACAATACCGACGGTGAATAACCCGAAAATCCTCGGAGTTACCTTCGACAGTCTGCTCTCCTTCTCGGCGCATAAAACCGCAATTTTCAACAAAGTAGAGAGCCGCAACAATGTCCTCAAGTCGCTGACCGGCAGCACTTGGGGCAAAGATAAAGAAACGTTGTTGGCAACATACAAGGCAATTGGCCGGCCGGTTCTTAACTACGCAGCGCCTGTATGGTCGCCGGGGACTAGCAGGACGCAGTGGATGAAGCTGCAGACCTGCCAAAACACGGCATTACGAACTGCGACAGGATGCCTCCTGATGATGCCTCAACACCACCTTCATGGCGAGGCCCAGATGCTCCCAGTAAAGGAGCATAACATAATGCTCTGCAAGCAGTTCCTCGCTGGGAGCCACAGACGTGGCCATCCCAGCGGGCAACTACTCGCGGAAGAGCCCTCGCCACGGCACGTCAGGAGGCATCTTTACGAACTGACAGACGAAGTCCAGAGGTATATTAAACAACCTCTGGACCCGTCAACCTACCGACAGGCCCTGAACGGCATTCACAGTCTCAAGTTATGAAGACTCCCGCCCTGTGAATGCCGTTCTAGGCACACAACCACCGGACGTGGACGGGACAGAACTTTGTCTGCCTCGGGAGACCCGCACTACAATAGCCCAACTTCGCTCTGGCTATTGCAGCAGGCTCAACAGCTACCTGAGCAGAATCAACGAGGATGTGCCCAACCATTGCCCGGCATGTGGGGAGTCGCCACATGTCTCCTGGCACCTCTTCACATGCCCTGAGAACCCAACTCAGCTAACGCCCCTGTCCCTATGGACAGCCCCTTTGGAAGTAGTACACTTCCTGGGCCTCACCCCAGCTGAAATAGACGACAACGATGATGGATGAACCGTCCCGAACGGGGCTTAGTAGCCGCTACAACAACAACAAGAGCAGAAAAGGCACTTCAAAAAACAGCTGAAACTCGGAGCTTAAAAATGAAGAAATATGTATGTAGCTGAAATGCGGCGGCACAATGACATCATGAAGCACTCGCTGAAGATGAAAATGTGAAGTATTTGGTTTAATTATTATTTTTATACAAAAATTTCTAGTTTTTTGAACGCTTATATGTGTATTTATATGTATAACTTCTTTTAATTATTATTTATTTAGCTGAGAAGTGCCTTTTCTCTTTACTCTTCATGATGTTCTGCTAAACTCGTTACTGCTACAGTAACTGTTTTTTATTCCACAAGCCTTAATATTTAGTTCAGTTTCCAGAACGTCGGAGGATGCTTTCAGCTTCTTTCCAGTAGGTCTCCTTTCTTTGATTCCTCGCTTAGCGACACCTTTTTGTAGTACTGGTCGAAAAACTGTAACTTACAAAGATTGCGGCAACTCCAATGGATTTATGGCATCACGCAATTTTCGTCGTTGGACCCTCTGCGCCATCAACCGTTCTTCCCCTTCCTCTGCCACTTAGCGAAACGCGATGGAATGCATTGTTTTAGTTATTTTTTGTGGCAAATGTCGATGAGCGCTTCCAAAACTGAACGTCGTCCTACAAAGGATTAGCCTTTAATTTAAACTAATATTTAAATTTCCGGAGCACTAGTTTATTAATAAATTGGCTTCCAAAATTCACAGTGACAACTGAACCTAGCAAAGGGTACCCTTATGGTATTTGCCCACTTATTTTGGTTTATAAATAAAAAACTTTGAACTTACCAGTGTAGTCAAAAGTTTGAACCTAACACCCCTATTCTGCAACTCTTTCGTATTCGGATTTTGCTACGAATCGTAGAAATAGTATGCTGCAATCCGAATAGTATTTTCGAACTTTCGAAATTCGTAACAATGGCATGCCTAAAAACGAACGAGTAAGCTTTTGTACGAAAACAATTGTGTCGGAGGCGAAATAAAAGATGTAAATCGATCTGTATTTGCAAGAAATATTGGTGGTGTTCTTTTAAACAGATAAATTTGCCTTTCACATATACATATATTTTTATCCACTGCTTTATATAAACGAGCAAAAAAGAATATTTGTTGCCCCTTATCGAGAAACTTGGGTCCGGCTTAGTTAATGCGCAACGATTTTCAGTTGTTGTGTCCAAACGCATAACTCAAATCCAAAAACTTTAACATACACGTGTAATCAAAGGATTCACATTTTATTAAAGATAAATGTTTCAAATTTCCTACCACTAGCTTATTAATAAACTCGGTTTGCACTATGCACTTTTTTGCAAATTTCGACGTGGGTTCTGCGCAAAAATGCTGTGGACGGCGTAGCTGGAGTGATATGAACAAGAAATGTTGTATACCTTTGACATGCGGAAGGCCCTCTTCCCCGCAACACAGAAAGGAGAATTCTACTTAGTAAGGGTTATAACCCCTAAGCGCGGCCGAAGGCAGAAGCAAGCGCAACAGGTGGTGGACCTAACAAAGTGCATGTTTTCAGTGGCTTGGAAGAAGCTGTTATTGCATTAACTGGATTGAGAACCAACGCTTCAGGCATAGGAGGAGTTCTGGCTTGTGGTTCAACAATTCAACCAGAAGCTGACATAGATGCGCCCATGGTTATTATGCCCGACAGCTCCGCATACCTTTGTGAATCCATTGCCACAGCGCCCGCTTACTCTGCTTCTATAATTGCAAATACATCAGAATCCATAAGCACATTAATTCCTTTCCACTTTGTTTTTCTTCATTCAGCTATCTTCGAAAAACAACTGATAGCTGGCAATGCTGCACGTTTCTGCAAGGGTTGCAGCATGTGGATTTTTCGTTTTTCGTAGCATAGCTACGAATTGCGAATTACGAAAATTCGGATTCTAGAATAAGGGGGTTAATTTAAAATAAAGAATTTAAATTCCCGCGCACTAATTAATAGCTTCAAGTGCAAATACACTTTTATGTTTTATGTGTAAAACACGCAAATTAAATGGCGGGAGTTGAGCTGTCAAAAACTGTCAAACAGCTCTTCGCAAGTTCGAATTTCCTGCTCCAAAATATTCGGGGAAAATGCTGCTCCCTTGCAGTTTAGAATGATTTTATTCTCGAGAAAAGTAAAATCCGCGAGACATGAAATCCTCGGGAATATTCAGAATTGGGTTGTATATTAAGCCTTCGATAATCATCGCAAGGACGCCAAACATTCGATTCTTTTTTAGGCACCAAATGCAAGGGCGATGCTCCTTGTGACTTGGTGGACGACAAATACCTGATTTAACTAAAAAATCGAATTCCTCCTTTTTACTATAATCAGGTCCAGCAATTAATGACAGAAATTCTTTAAGAAGCTGACTATATTTATTATCCATTGAAACTACTTTCAGCAAAGAAACGTCAAAAAATAGGATATTGCGTCAACCGATAAAGACGTCAAAGGATCTATTAAACGTGTATGCTTTATATCTGCCAGTAACCCATATTTGTCTAAGAAATCAGCTCATAGCAGGCTTAGATATGTCAGCTATCCAGCTTTAATAAATATGAAAGGAAATTCACGTCTTAATACTAAATTAACATTGAACAATTTTTTTTCGTAGGTTGAAACAGTACTACCATTAGCCGCTCTTAAGAGAATGTCTAAAGAGCGTTCATGAATTTTGAATTTTGAAGAAGGTAAAACCGAAATGGGGCAGACTGTCTATTAAAAAAGTTAGTTGGTTATCTCTGTCTAATACAAATAAGCGACGTGCCGAAAAGCGTAAATTGCCATTGTTAGTCGCCGCAACAACAGCACCACTTAGTTTGTTGCATTCGAATCATATACCGAATTTATAATGATAATGACAAAGCCAGTTTTGTGATGAAGATCTACCACGTGACTGAGAATTTCTTCTTCCACTATAATATCTATTCCTGGAACGCGATTCCCTTTTACTTATTTAATTTTTAATTTTTTTTTTATGTAAGCATTTTAAGCATTCACATAATTGTGAAGTTACTTTAACTAAATTTTCTACTACCTTTTCAAATCCATCCACAGCATTTTGTCGCAACCATAATTAAATTTGAAAAGTGAAATTAGTCCGCGATCAAAAAATTATATTAGGCCGCGCGGGCATAATTCATTTTGAAAAGAGAAATTAGGCCGCGATAAAAAAATGAGATTAAGCCGCGCGGGTAGGATTCCTTTTTAAACGTAGTATCCAGTTTTCAAGAAAAATGAAAACATCATACAATATTTTGAGATCAGTATGCAGCTCTCAAGAAAATAATGTTCGTATATTTATTTCTTCAAGAAAATTTACAGCAACAGCAAAGTAGTTTTTCAAGCAAAAGAAACAATGAAAAATATTTCTTGTGATCTTTCTTGAGAGCTGGATCCCAAGCTTATTCCCTGTATGCAGCTCTCAAGAAACCAGTCAAGAAAAATTTTGTTGCCTCACTTATTCCTCAAGAAATAATGGAACGGCCATATATTTCTGTTGCAAACCTGGGTTGCCTTGTGCTCTTTTTTCACAAAAAACTTTAGAAAACCGTAGTAGAAAGCATAGAAGTTCCTTAAGAACTGCGTACTGCTTAAGGAAATTTGACTCAAGAAAATTTCTTAGCCATTTCTTGTTCGTCATTTTATATTGAGTTTTTGCTCTTCTTGAGAGCTGCATACAAGCCATTATGGCATACAAGTGAAATTAGGCCGCCGAAGAAATAAGAAGGCCGAGTTTAACCTACAATATCCAGACCTTAACTGGGCCAGTTGTTTAGATAGGCAAACGCAATTAATCTCACATCTCATGATGGTCACGTATATATTACCAGATTTAACCTGCCAGGAACATAGCTACATCCAATCAGTAAGGACCTCGAGCTCTAACAACAACACTGGTAAATTAATCACCGACAAGACACGGCTTGAAAAAAAATCATTAATATTAAAGAAATAACATTTTATTCGGCAGTTAAATATATTCACGAATTCAATAATATGTTAGATCAACTGAAGCTGTTAACGCAGCGACCATTGGTTTTTATTTAGCGTTTACTCTTACACCTGAACTTATGAGGCCTCCTTTGCCAAACGTTCAGCTTTCTGGACGACTTCTTCAATTGGTCCAACCATATAAAATGCAACTTCAGGAAGATGATCGTATTCGCCTGCCAAAATCTGATTGAATCCCTTAATGGTTTCTTCGAGTGGTACCAGTTTTCCAGCGTGACCGGTAAACACTTCAGCAACCTGGAACGGCTGTGACAAGAAACGTTGGATCTTGCGAGCACGTGCAACTGTAAGTTTATCCTCTTCAGACAACTCATCCATACCCAAAATGGCGATGATATCTTGCAGTGACTTGTAGTCTTGCAGAATTTTCTGTACACCACGTGCTACGTTGTAGTGCTCTTGACCAATAATATTAGGATCCATGATACGTGAAGTAGAATCCAAAGGATCCACAGCTGGATAAATTCCCAGTTCTGCAATAGCACGCGACAGTACTGTTGTAGCATCCAAGTGAGCAAATGTTGTTGCTGGGGCAGGATCGGTCAAATCATCAGCAGGTACGTAAATAGCTTGAACTGAAGTGATTGAACCTTTCTTGGTGGTGGTAATACGCTCCTGCATAGAACCCATATCAGTAGCAAGAGTTGGTTGATAACCCACAGCAGATGGAATACGACCCAATAAAGCGGATACCTCAGAACCGGCTTGGGTGAAACGGAAAATGTTATCAATAAATAACAATACATCTTGACCCTCTTGGTCACGGAAATATTCGGCAACAGTTAATCCAGTCAACGCAACACGAGCTCGAGCGCCTGGGGGTTCGTTCATTTGACCGTATACCAAAGCTACCTTCGATGTTTTGTCTTTCAGTGAAATTACACCAGACTCGATCATTTCATTGTACAAATCATTGCCTTCACGCGTGCGCTCTCCAACACCTGCGAAGACTGAATAACCACCATGAGCCTTGGCAACGTTATTGATCAACTCCATAATTAATACGGTCTTTCCGACTCCAGCGCCCCCAAACAAACCAATTTTGCCACCTTTTGCATAGGGAGCTAGTAAGTCGACGACTTTGATTCCGGTTACTAAAATTTCTTGTTCGACAGACATGTCGACGAATTCAGGAGCTTCAGCATGAATGGGAGCGGTCTTGCTTGTTGGAATGGGTCCGCGCTCATCAATAGGTTCACCTATAGGAAAGAAATTTAAAAATGTTTATTTAAATAGATGTACTAAAAATTATATTTTCCCAAAAGTACTATTTGTGTTTTGTAGCATAATTTCGGGTATCTTAAGCTAGAAATTGTTTATTCTTTTTTCGTCTCATGACGAATAAGGCGCCCAAATATCTGTTGGAAAAATTAACGTTCCCCAAATCATCTAGAGTAAACAACTTGACTGTTCACACCTATGTGCATTATCTCAGCTCTGCACGGATATTCTTTGTCAATGCTATCCACATCTGGAACTCTATCTCATATTCGCAGTAGTTTAAACAAAAACAACTCTAGAAATCTTTTGTATGCATATTTCCGTTAGCTTGTGTGAGGACCAAATATCCCTGAGGAATTTAGCCCACACAAGCAATACGACACCGCAC